GGACGAAGCAATTGACTCAATGTATTTGTTCCATCTCAGGTCAGCAGTCAACGTGAGACCGAGCAGGCGCAGAGAGGTGCTCTCGAAAAGTTGAGCGTCAGACATTCTAATGGAGGGCAGGGAAGGAACTCTGTGGTGATTAATAGAGAGCAGTTTTGTTTTTGAAGCATTAAAGTTGACCAGCCAATTCCTGCCCCAGTTCACAACCGATTGGAGGTCCTTTTCGAGACGCACGGCCGGGTTATTTTTGTCAGTGATACTAGATTTGTTTTTGAGGCAGGAATAGATTGTGGTGTCATGTGGTATAATATAAACATAAGTAATTATAATCGTCTGGAAAAAACCTTAGGTGTATTGGCTTGTAAATGAACAAACCAATGCCCAAGGAAAAATAAGGGATAAAAAAAGAAAGAAGAAAGAACTAAGAACATGTAAATGAGGCGAAAATAATCGTCCAGAATCCAAGCTTAGAGTCCAAAGAAAAAACCTCCAACACGAGTTAAGCAAAAGTCCAGCGTACCCTGACGATCCGCGTAGGTGAAACCTAGGTAGGTTTGCCTGGCTCTTTAAGTTCATATATATATATATATATATATATATATATATATATATTATATATATATATAAAGCAAGACGGTCAATCGCTCAGAGAGATCAACTCCGCATAAGTAATTACCCTTTTGGCTTTCAAACTAGATAAGTTGTGAGAACTGGCCAGGTACTTAACTACCTTACAACCACCCTCGGATGGTACTATCCGACATTTTCGATAACAGCCGCATCACGTTGAAATCCCGGAGTTAAGCAGTGTCGAGCCTGGTCATTATCTTGATGGATAACAGCTCGGGAATACCAGGTCTGAATGAGTGGGTGTACTAGATAATGGCTCGGTATTGTTCATCGAAGAGCAGAGTTCAAATTCCAGTTAGGTTCTTTATATCCAGTTACGCGAAAATGTCCTTGGGAAACGTATGAATCCACCTCTTACCCCCGCTATGGGTTAATTAGTAAGACCTATCATTATCTCAAAAGTATTACAATCTAAAAATATGTTCTGGCTTTGATAAACTGTACAATATTCTTGTGAATTTTTCTCATCCCTCTTGTACCAAATTTGGAGACACATTATTACAAATCGCATTAGTCATTTAGTAATTTTCGGTCAATGTATTCCTTAAAGCTGATTTCTCTAATCACAGACAACTCCATTGAGTGATAATACTTGAATAATTATCTTTAAATAAAAGGGGGTAGGAACACGATTATAAATAAGTTTTTTTTAAACACATCATTTTTGTCAAGGCAGCCATTTTAGGTATTGTTCTAGTTTTATGAACAGTAGACCAAATTCCACGACCTCCATTTACCAGAATCTGTCAAACTTTTCTTGAGCATTAGATTCTCACCACCCGCTCCCCCATTCCCATGAGCGACCTCTATCCATCTTCAAGGACCAGTTGCAAGACTAACTTCAAAGAGATGTAAGCAGGTTAGTGAGGGTGGGGAAAGAAAGAGACTACTTCGCACCGCCCCCACCCCCGGGATATACACCAACTTTTGCAGAATCTTTCAAGTAAGTCATTCAATGTTGTAACATGTCAAAGAAATTGACATCAGGTGGGAAGCAAATGTTTCTATCTGGATGAGCAGATCAGTGTGGTGGGCGCACACAGTGTATAGAGAGAGAGAGAGAGAGAGAGAGAGAGTGAGAGAGAGAGAGTGGTGGGGAGAGGGATAAACAGTGTATCAAGAGAGGGGGACGGGAGGTGCAGAGAAGGAGGGTAGATAGGGGGGGTTCGTATTGGTCACGGCTAGCAACCATCACACATACCTCATTTCTGCACCCCACTGCACCTTCAATCGGTTAGGTCACGCAAAAAATAGATATTTTTTTTCCCTTTTATTACACCCCACTGCACCTTCAAAATGGCGCTGGGGGGTGTGTAACACTGTAAGAGAAAAAGAGAGGTCAGAGCAAAATAGAGATTTTTTTTCCCTTTATTAGAGAGAGAGAGAGAGAGAGATCGAGAGGACAGAAAGAAAGGAGAGGGGGGAGAGGAACAGAGAGGAGAGGAGAGAGAGAGAGAGAGAGAGAGAGAGAGAGAGAGAGAGAGAGAGAGAGAGAGAGAGAGAGAGAGAGAGAGAGAGAGAGAGAGAGAGAGAGAGAGAGAGAGAGAGAGAGAGAGAGAGAGAGGAGAGAGAGAGAGAGAGAGAGAGAGGAGAGAGAGAGAGAGAGAGAGAGAGAGAGAGAGAGAGAGAGAGAGGAGAGAGAGAGAGAGAGAGAGAGAGAGAGAGAGAGAGAGAGAGAGAGAGAGAGAGAGAGAGAGAGAGAGAGAGAGAGAGAGAGAGAGAGAGAGAGAGAGAGAGAGAGAGAGAGAGAGAGAGAGAGAGAGAGAGAGAGAGAGAGAGAGAGAGAGAGAGAGAGAGAGAGAGAGAGAGAGAGAGAGAGAGAGAGAGAGAGAGAGAGAGAGAGAGAGAGAGAGAGAGAGAGAGAGAGAGAGAGAGAGAGAGAGAGAGAGAGAGAGAGAGAGAGAGAGAGAGAGAGAGAGAGAGAGAGAGAGAGAGAGAGAGAGAGAGAGAGAGAGAGAGAGAGAGAGAGAGAGAGAGAGAGAGAGAGAGAGAGAGAAGAGAGAGAGAGAGAAGAGAGAGAGAGAGAGAGAGAGAGAGAGAGAGAGAGAGAGAGAGAGAGAGAGAGAGAGAGAGAGAGAGAGAGAGAGAGAGAGAGAGAGAGAGAGAGAGAGAGAGAGAGAGAGAGAGAGAGAGAGAGAGAGAGAGAGAGAGAGAGAGAGAGAGAGAGAGAGAGAGAGAGAGAGAGAGAGAGAGAAGAGAGAGAGAGAGAGAGAGAGAGAGAGAGAGAGAGAGAGAGAGAGGAGAGGAGATGAGAGGAGAGAGAGAGCTCCGAGTTGCACTTAAAAATTTAACTCGAAACCGATTTCAAGTGTTGCTTACGAGAAAAAAAAATATTAAATTAACGTGCGAATCTTCTCTCCTCACGGAAATTGTGAAAATGAGAATACAAAATGTGAAGTCGCTCGATAATGAAGGAAACCCCAAATTAATTCCGCCATCCAACAATTTCGATTACATTCTCAAAGCTCCCGTCTTCGAATTTAGATGACTATTGAAATTCGATTCTGTTATGGTCATATCAACAAGAAACAAGAGGAAAAGGCAAACATATATTGAATAACAGCCCCTTACAGTATATTGGTGGAACTGGGTGAATTCCATCACCATCGTAACAAAAAAAAAAAAAAAATTTCAAGGTCACCTGAAGAGAGGGGGAAAAATATCAAACAAGAGAAAGGTTCGACCAAATCAATGTTGTCATGTTGTCCGAGAGATGACGAAGACGATTGGCGAATCTTCCATAAATTTACGAAGACGTATTTATAAACATCAGATCTCCGACATAATTTATCCAATGCATTAGTTATACACACAAGAAATCTCGACAACAATATTTATCTTACAAAAAAAAAAAAAAAAAAAAAAAAAAAAAAAGAAAAAGAAAGTTGTCCTTATTAAGACAATAACTTACATAGTCGACAAGTCAATACTCCCCCACCCCGAAAGTGACAATCAAAGCCGAAAAACCTAGATAAAAGTCCTATTTTATTACTAGAAAAACTCGGGGAAAATTCACGGTTTTTTTTTTTTTTTTTTTAAAAAAAACTGAATTTGATAAATCTTAATCCTTCACTTAATTATTGAATAAGCCCATGGCGAGTTCTGCGACAATATCCGTAGAAATCTCCCCATATTGCATCGTTAAATATTTGAGCTTCTTTAACAAAATATCGTAATGACAATCATAGATATGAATGCTGGCCGTCATTTTAAAAATTAAGGAGGTACAAATGAAAAGATTTGAAATTGAAAACTTACTAAATTCCCCATGTATAATACGCATTTTTTCTATTTAAAAATAGAAAAGAAAAAAGGGTTACCAGGGGATGCGTATTATGCACAGCTATAACAAGAATTTAAAAAATTTGTCGTAAAATAAGTATTTACATAAAACTTGAGTAGAATATAACCATAAAAAAAAAAAAAAAAAAAAAAAAAAACAGTAGAAAACGCTGACCGTAATAAAATTAGAGAAGTACAATTTATAGGGTTTGATTACCAAACAAAGGGTGCGTATTATGCATGACTAGAAGCATTTTTCAACACTTTCAGCACAATTTTAGGTGTGCGTATTATACATGGGGAATCACGACATTTCCATTTCACTGAAAGCCGTTCTACTTTCCCTTTTTTTCTTTTTTTTTTAAATTTTTCTCGCTGAAACCAAGTAGCGTCTACGTAGAACATTAATGAAAACGGAATCGTCCATTATTTATAAGGTATTGGCAGGAGATATTAAACACCTTCTCTTCTCTTTCATTTCCCCCACTGAAACTAAGTCGTGTCTTATCTTTTTACACGTGATTAAAATGGAATAACGTTATGGAAGTATTGACACAGCGTTACGGTCATACGAACTAACTAAAGGGAGAGACAAGCCCAGTTATAATAAGATCACCATCCTTATTTCTGATGCCTTTTGTTTTGATTTCAACTTTTTGTGCACCCCGGGTTTTCGAAACAGATTTACGAAGGTGTTTCACCAGTTTAGATGTTTTCCTTCTTGGAGTATCACACCAATTTCACAGTAAAATCAGGAACCTTCCACCCCTACCCTACAGCTGCCCATGTCCCCACATCTCTTGACTCCATCTCTTGCATGACAGAAGTCATCAATAAGGAACGGATTGCTTGACAAACATCCCGTTTCAGAAGTCAGGGTTAGTTCTACAGCCATATTTTTATTGGGTTTCGATATCGCTGGGCCGAACGAACCCTTAATAATAGTAATAATAATAAAAATAAAACAAAACTTAAAGAAAAGGAAGAAACAAAATGTATTATTTCCAAGAACGCAACGACATTCATATTCTCCTCTTTCCTCTTTCTAGCACATCCTTACCCAGTCTATTAGAGATCAGTGCTGCTCCATGCTTGGCCACTTACTCCTAAGCACCGAACGATCGGCCTTACAAATATACCATACCATAGCTTTCATACAACCAGTGCGGCTGTCATGGAGAGCCTTCCCTTCTGTAAATGTAGACGGAGCGTTATTGTTTGAAAGCCGATTATTGATTGGTGATCGTCTATTGATTACATTCGCACACCGCCATTTACAACCCCCAATCTTCTACGAGTCCGAGTCTTTGAATTTTTCTTTCTTGCTCAATTTTTGTCGATTTTTTTTTTCTTCTTTAAAACTGGTGGGTTTGACGGTCTGGTGGCAAAAATTGAAGAATTTTTACGATTAAATCCTAATGTTTTCCCCCTCAGCTTTATTCGTTCGAATTCTTTTCTGTTACTATGTCGACTACAGAATACTTCCATCTCTTCCTGACCAACTACCAAATTTTTAATATCTTTGGAATTTACCTGAGTTGCTGTATTTTTCAATGAATCCCTTCTCTTCAAACTCCTTTGTCCATTTTTCTTCATATGCCACGGTTTAAGTTCAATTTTCTCTCCTTATATCTAAATTCTCTTCATTGAAAGAGATTTTCTCTCGGTTGACCGCCATACTGTCTTTTCAAACTTTCATTTCTTTCCCTCCCCTTCCTATACCTTTTCCTCCTCCCCGTGTTAAAAGATTCCCCCCTCCACCAGCATTTTTTTAAATTTATTTCTCCAGTTCACACTCCCTTTTTATTTCTATCTCTTTCCTATTCTCCCTCCTCCAACTTCCTCTTTATTACAAGCCCTTTTCTCCCTTCCAACCCCTGACTATCTTCCATTTCTTATTTCCCCTTCTTTTCTATTCCCCTTCGTTGTTTCTCTCTCTCTCCGGCAACTACTACTTTTGCTCTTAATACTTCACTTTTCTTTTCACCTCTTTTCTTCTCACACCACCACTCTTTCTGAACTTCTTCCTCCTACTCATTCAAAATCTGCCTCCTGCTTAAACATCTTTTCACCCTCTTTCTTTATTCTCCTCCCACTATTCCTTCAACTTCCTCATTATGAAACCTCTCCCACAGGCTACATTCTTCCCCATTTCTTATTCCCCCCTCCTTACTGTTCTTTATCTCTTCCTCTGTTTGCTCTTTTCTCTCTCCGTCAATACTTGCTATCTCTCTTCAAACTTTCATTTCTTTCCTTCCAATCTATTAATTTTTCTCCTCTTTCCAAACCGTTCTCCTCCTACTCTTATTCAAAGTCTTTCTCTCTAGTTTTTTTTTTTTTTTAAACTTTCCACTGATCTCCCTCTCTTTGTACTTTCTTCCTCCAACTTCCACTTTATTGTAAGCTCCTTTTCTTCTCCCCCACCCCCATTCGTTTTCCCCTCCATTGGTTCATGGCCTCTTATTCTTTATTCTAACTTTCTTTCTCTCCAGTCTTTTCTATTCCTCCACCCCTCTTCCTGAACCGTTCCTCCTACCTCCGTTAATTCAAAGTATTGCATCCCTCCATATTTTTCTCTTTACATTCTCCCTTTATAATTCCATCTCTTCCTGATCCTCTTACCCCTCCAACTTCCTCTATCATAAGCCTTTTCTTACCCCCACCATTTCTCCTCGTTTTTTTTCTATCTTTCTTTCCCCCTCTATTGATTCTTTTTCACCGAGTCACAACTTTCTTATCTCTTCCTCCAGTCAATATTATTCTTCCTCCCTCTCTCCCAAATGCTGATCCCTACATATTTCTCTGACTACTACTTTTTCTCTCCAATTCTTTTATCCCGACATCAACCATTATCCTCCTCACTATCTTAAACTACTGCTTCCTCTTCCATATTTAACTTTATCACTCTTGATTTTTACTGTTGTAACTTTCTCTTCCCCCTCAACCATCATTCTCACCCCCCTCTCTCTCCCGCCTCCAGATTTCACTCTTCATCTCCAAATCTTTTTACCCAGACGAAACTTTCCTCTCCCCTGTTGAACCATTATTCTTCCTCTCTCAAACGACTTACCCTCTCCATATCACTTTTCCTCTTCAATTTTTTTTTTATCCATTTGTAACTTCCATCTCTCCCCCGCCTCAAATACAACCTTTCTCTATATATTTCACTATTTTTCCTCTTCTTCAATTCCATTTTTGCCCAGTCGTAACTTTCTTTTTCTCCCCGCCCTCTCTGAAGCCTGCAACGGCTGATTCCCCCTCCAGGTTTCAGTATTTGTTACTTTCTCTTTTTTACCAAGTCGTCACTTTCTTTTTTCCTTTCCTCTCTCGCTGCTTCCACCTCCCTTCTACCACTTTCTCTTTTTACCCAGTCGTAACTCCCCCCCCTTCTTTTCTCCTACCTCTCTAACTACAACTGCTGACCCCAAGACCCGCTACCGGTCCATATTTTCTCACAACCGAATCAAAATACATCATGGATGGAATTCGGATGCTTCATGTTAACATTGGCGTCTTTTGTGAACTCGAAGACAAGAGAATTGACAAGCTTTTTGCAGTGTGGAGGGAAGCAGTCGTAGAAGATATTCCCACTTGTAGCAGGAGCACGGACTTTCTGCTTTTTTTTTTTTTTGCTTTTTTTCTTCTTTGTTTAAGCTAAACTACCTTCAACCCGGTGATCGTGTCGGAATACAAGTTAAGGTGGGTGGATACAGTTGACGGCTCATTGAATAAAAACGCTAATTCTATAACCCTTTAAGTCATCAACCCAAAATTAACAACTAGGGACAGAGTGTCTGCAAACCTAATCTCCAATTCTAGGAACAAATTACATTAAAACGGAATTATTTCATTCGTGTATATATATATATATATATATATATAACAAGCACAGATTGGTGATAACGATTTGGGTGTTTGCAGCGCTTGTTAGAGAGTGGCTGATCAATTGATAGGAAAGTTGTTAGTTCAAATCACTACAAGTAATGAGTTATTCTATATTTGATTAGCCTTTGAATTATTCAAACCAACTAATTGCAAACACCATGTTAGAAGCCCAGTATATCTGAACGGCCTGTTGTAGCGTTCCCACCCCAACTCTATTCAGCTGACATAATTTTAAAGTAATTTGCGACATACACACCCATAAGCACAGAGAACACACACACACATATATATATATATATATAAGTCCAATGTGTCCCCAAATAAGCAATACATGCCCCATTAAAAAGAAAAAGGAAAAAAAAATCGAAATCAAACACGATATGGCATATGTTCCTGACAAAATATATTAGGCACTCTCTGTTTAATTTACAAGATTTATTTAAGTACTCCCTTGACATTTTTTTTAAGCTAATACATTCCACCCATCACCCAATTTTAAAGCCAAATCATATGCACGGAAGTCACCAAATCTCTGCTTGACCCACTTTGCAAATATTGACTAAAAAAAAAAAAAAAAAAAAAAAGAGAAAAGATTTCTTGGGTCAGGCGTAAAACTTCACTTGCGTTTGCATATCCCCTGATGAGGAGACGGAGCGATTGCTGGAAAATCCTTCAATGAAACTCTGGAGTCGGGATGCTGAAGATAACATTCATCATCTAAATAACAGATTTTATATTTGTATTAGTCATATATATTCCAGGTAATGGATTTTATTTATCAATCCGATGCCGAGTGTATATTTTTCTTTAAGAAAATTTCTCGAATATTCAAACTGGCAGAGGAAATATACTGTTTAATACATAAATGGAGTGTCTACTCACGAGTATTCACTAAAATGCGCGCGTGCGTGTAAATATATAAGTAAAAGGACAATATGAATAACGAAAGTCCAACCGAGAACGAAACTAGTCGACAATGATAAGTTCACCTTATTTACTTATTTAGAGAGAGAGAGAGAGTGTGTGTCTGTATGTATGTGTGTGTATATATATATATATATATATATATATATATAGTCTGTGTGGCGAGAGTTGTAGAGACAACGGGACTTGAGGATGTGAGCGAGTTTTACTTGGCTCATATGCTCCATTCATAGTATTCTCGTCATTCTCCTATAGACCCACATTTCTTTGGGCTCCAAATGTGAGGAGACAGTCCAGTATTCACTGCCATTATAGGAGGATTGCAACGACAAAGGATGCATTTAAAATCGGGGCACGCAGTTCCCGATGATTTAGAAGGTTGCAGTTTCTTTCTGCGGTTTCAAAAGAACTTCAGGGAAATGGGAACCAAATTGCTTTATCTTCATGTTGACAACAAAAAGCAGCAGTTAACTAACGCCGCCCTTTTTCTTTTTAAAATATTCTCGCTCAGTCTTAAAACCTCAACCCTTATTCACGTTTTCTGTGCATACAGTTGACGCGAGATTAGTATACGGAAGCAAGGGTCTTCTCTGCTTACGCCACTCTACTAATGACACTTGTTCACAATTTATTCTAAGGACTGAAGGAACGGGAGATTTTAATAATGACCGCGAATGGGGAGTGGGGTATCTCAGCCATGCAGTGTATACATAGACACTTCGACAGATATTTAATAGCCGTTCAGTATTGACATACAATAAAAATTTGCCACATTCTAAAATATTCGACGAAAACTGCACTTAATGCCCTTGACTCCCATTATATATATATATATATATATATATATATATATGCGCGCAGCGCTTTGTTTTGGCAAAATAGTAATGTAAAACTGCAAATGTTATCAGTGGTAATCGGTATAAAAAGAACAACAATATAGTATTGACTTATCTTCTACCTGCATTAATGTTTATCTTACAGAAGCATCTGAAATGTGTGTCTAAATTATTCACCTTAAAAAATAAAATTATCTATGTCTGAGTAGGTAGAATGGAAAGCCTATGCACGCATACGTAGAAAGGAAAACAACTCGAGCTAAT